ATATAGGTAAAATTAATCACTGCAATAAAATAACTGTCTTTTGTCTTTTATGGTGGATTGCATCAACTCTGTTACATACAGAAGGGAAACTTTTAAAAAAAAAGTAGTCACACTGAATTTTTAATAAACCAAAATACAGTTTCAAAGCAAATGAATTCAAACTCAAAACTTTAAATTCAGTTTCAATTTAGTGAAATTGWTTTTCAAACCAATGCRTTCAATTTCAAATCATGCACATTCAGATTCAATCTGAGSAATTCARATTCAGTTCCTGCTGGCACAAGATTTATCCCATACCTGAAACTCTTCATATGTAGGGCAGGTAAATACCTGAGGAAATTAGACATGTATTTAAAGTTGAGTTACTTTTATTCATGTTCTTTTTCAAGCTCGCAGAGTTTTATCAGATCTCTGTAGTGAAGCTCTGTATGTTTGAGGCCAGTCTGGTGTTCTGTGGTTAAACAGTTTGGTTCTGTTCTCTTCTAACCTAGAGAAGGGAAACAAGGGCATCTCACAGTAGCCAGGCCTGRGAAAGGAGCTCCACAAGCACCTGGTGGTTGAGCTTTAGCTCCTGGRGCCTGAAAGAAAGCCACCTCCGCAGAGGTCCATCAAGGACCATCAAAGCTGGGTGTGATGCATGGTCCTGGCCGTGCCGATTCCTGGCAGTATAGAGTAGTTCAAGGGGCGTGGAACATAACCTCATGGGTGGGTAAGTAGCCAGGGCTTGTGTCTGAGGTTGAGCATTACAGACGGACGGACAGACGGTAGACAGACATACAGACAGACACCTAAATAATCCCAAGGGGAAATTACATGGTGGTCCATAGCTCTCATTCATACTGCAATAAAAACAATATTCATCAGCTTCAAGAAAAATAATTAAAATAAATAAATTAATTAAATTAAATTAAATTAAATCAGGAGGACAAAACCAGCTATRTTCTCCTATTCCTGYCRAGAGTGGTCAAGTTATACAGCCTGAGGGACAAACRCCCTCGTTTAAATATTTTTAAACTAAAACCTCTGTAACTTTGTTGTATTTTACTTCAGCAGCATGAGGCTTTGCACAGGTAATATACATAAGTGTACTCATGGTTTCCAAGAGTTTTTAGCCTTATTCATTATACTTTTGAAAAGGTTATATACTGTATAATGCAGAAAAACCTCAGGCAAGGGGAAAAAAAAAGCTATTTTTTTCTATGTTCCATCCTCAGTATCTCTGAAACAAAAGCATATGATGTGATACTTACACTCCTGATGAAATCTCCCAAGTGTTAGCTTTATTTTGATATCAAGTGTATTTATATGGTGTTTTYAGGTGCTGAGATACAMCCAGTTACATTTGGGCATGYTTTTTCGAGCACAAACTTCAAGAAAACCCCTTTGGGTTTAAGGGGYTAGATGTTTACAGACTGTTAGACAAAAAGGAGATGCTTCACACTTTTTGGAGATTTGTCGTTACCATCAAATTCAAATGGATCTTTTCTGTCAGTAAAAAGCTACTACTTCTTAGTTTTAACAATTAATATGTGTTCAATGTTTCATTGTGAATAAAATATGGGTTTATGCGAGTTTGAAATGGTCGCATTGCTTTTTTTTTTTTACACCATGTCCCAACTTTTTCAGAACTGGGGTTGTAAATAATTAAACAATTCTAATAAAATATAAAGTAAAAGAACAAACATAACTTACCCTAAGTGTCTGTCTGGAGTCATATTATAGTCACCCTGAAAGCATACATACAGACATGTATGAGCGAGTGTGTAGTTGTTCCTGTCACTGACTGGGTGGGACACAGTTCAGATCTGTTTCTACTCACAGTGTAGACCACAGACTCTGAGCCCACTTTGATGTGCACCATGGCAGCTCCCAGGACGTGGCCTGCATAATACGCCTTGATCTCCAGCTCATCATCCACCTGCCAGGAGCAGCACACAAACAGCTTGAGCTGCCATCAAAAGAGACGAGCAGCGGGAGCAGGAAAACACAGGACTGGATAAACCCATCAGAAGCGAGGCATCAGAGCAGCACCTGGACAGTCTGGTGGAGATTCAGAGGAATCACTTTCTTCATGCAGTCCTTGATCATCTGTGAAGTGAAGAAGTTGGTTTCTCCCTTCTTGTCAACGGTGATCTTCCTGAAATCTTCCAGCAAAATGGGACAGATGGCCTTGGTGGGATGGGTCATGTAGATGGGTCCATCGTAGCCCACCATCTCRCTCATGTAGGGCAGAGCGCCACAGTGGTCCAGATGAAAATGACTGAGTGCAGAGCAGGTGGAAACAAATAAAACACAACCTTCTTTAAAGGGATCCACGATTAGTTGTAACATTAGACTTTATTTGATAAACATTTATTTTAACTGTAAAATAAAGACTGTACAAATACTGTAGGCTGTTTAGTTTTGTAAATTTTAAAATATATATTTAAACACGGACGGAGCCATTTTATTTACACACAAAGCATTCTGGGTAAATGATGATGTTTATTGGTCCTTGGTGTG